TTCTTTGCTCTGGACAAGGAGAGACCCATCGTTGCATCTAGATGGCTGCTTGCAAGCTTTTAAGATTCCAGTTCTACTCGCCAAAGTAGGAGATGGAACAATGTTTTGTGTAGTATGTTATGCCAATTGAGATTGATGTCCCTTGTGACTATGGTCCTGAGCCCACAATTCAACTACTCGCTCCCTCTGGGTAGCTGGCTGTGACCCAGAAGTGACTACCACCTTGTCCCTTGTCAGCTGTACTATACACCTGGGAACTCTTACTGGACACACAAATACACTTGTAGAACCATTGTCTGCCAAACCTATACATGGTCTTGGGTACACTCCCTGCTGCACAGACATGCCTAATAGTTTAGCCCGTCCACTCATCTATCCACCTGTATACCCATGTTTGCCGTCACTGGCAACGCAGTACTGCATGTGCAAAAGGGTTCATCTTTGTTGTCTGTACCTCCCATGTACCTCTCTATGTCTTCCTCTTCCTTAGTGTCACCATGTTGATCAGTCACATTTGGTACATTGCCCTTCTCTTCACCCAAATCAATATTTATCTCTACCTATCTAACAGTGTTCCCTACCCTACCCTCCCACCCCTGGTAACCAACAAAGAAAATTTCTTTCCATAGAAAACCTTTCCTTGACTTTTATAACAACAGACTAGTACAATATTTGTCCTTCTGTGATTGACTTACTTCACTCAGCATAATGTCCTCCAAGTTCATCCATGTTATGCAGTGTTTTGCAGATTCTACGTTATTCTTTAGGGTTGCATAGTATTCCATTGTGTGTATGTACTATAGTTTGGTTATCCATTCCTCAGTTGATGGACACCTAGGATGTTTCCATCTTTTTGCTATTGTAAATAGTGCTGCGATGAACATGGGTGTGCATATGTCTGTTTTTGTCATGGCTCTCACTTCTTTAGGATTCAGCATATCTTTTTGAGGGACAAAATTCAATCCATAACAGCTTCTAATATGATGGTGTCTGTTTCTCTCTAAAATGAGAATATAATTTCTTGAATCAGTGTATTTTTAATAAGTATGAAACAGAATATGCTTTTTAGAGTATTGCTTGAGTATTATCTATAGATTGAAAGTATAAGGAATTTGGGATTATTTGACATCTTGAAACTCTTTTCAGGAATATCTTTATACTTCTGTATCATTTTAGCTAATTAACAAGTTTTTTATTTGCATTTAACTGGGGGTTGTAGGAAAGAAATTTTTGCCACAGGAATAGGCAAATGTATTCCTTGGTAGAGCAGCATAATATACTGAAGACCCCAGGGCTTCTGCGGCCCAGCTCTGCCATTTACTAAACATGGCTTTGGACAAGTTACCTCTTAGGACCTCATTCTTCTGTATGATGGGAATTCATCATTCCTATCCTACAAGGATGATGATGTGTATGTGTGTGCACATGCATGCATATGCATATAACATCTTCCTCCTTGCTCCTCCATCCACACCCCAGGATGCTGAGCTGGACGTTGAAATTCAAAGTAGGCTTTTGTGAGTGGCTTGTGTACATCAACTTTTGTTAGATTATATGTGCTGTTATTTCAGACAATCCTAAAATCTCATGACTTTCAAAAAAAAAAGATTTACTTTGTAGTATGGTTACAAGTTGGGATAGTTGGTTATAATCCTCTTCTAAGTTACAGGTTGGCTCCACCAATCTTTTTCATCTGCAATCCAGGCTGTAGGACAACATCCATTTGGGACATGGTGTTCTTTTATCAGAGAGAAAAAAGGTCACAGATCTGGTGGGAAACAGTATCTCTTAAAGCTTCTGTTCAGACATGGTCTCCGTTCATATTCCACTGGCTGAAAAAAACTGCATGGTCAAGCCTGAGGTTAACCAAAAATGTCAATTACTGTTGAGTTGATTCTGACTGAAGGTGGCCCTGTGTGTTTCAGAGTAGAATTGCACTCTGTAGCGTTTTCAATGGCTGTCACTTTTGGGACACATGAGTTCTCCATGAGTCAGAATTGACTCAAAGGCAGCTAACTGAAAAAACTATGACCTTTTGAAGTAAATCACCAGGTGTTTCTTCAGAGGTGCCTCTGGGTGAATTTGAACTACTGACCTTTCAGTTAGTGTTGTTATTTGCCATCGAGTTGGATCCAACTCATAGCAACCCCTTCTCGGGTTGCCAAGGTGGTATCACTACCGAAGTAGATTGCCCAATCTTCCTTCCAAGGAGTGGCTGGTGGGTTTGAACCACCAGCCTTCTGGTTAGCAGTCAAGTGCCTTAGGCACTATGCTACCAGAGCTCCTAAAAAGAGACAGCCTGGCTATCAGGCGGGCTTGAACAGACAGCATTGTGTGTGCCAGGTGACTGACTTAGGCCTGAGGCCAACCCTTAGGGCCTTTCAGTTAGTAGCCAAACACATTTATAGCACCCATCGACTTCTAATGTCAGTGAGGTAGAAAAGTATTAGTTTGAGTCCTATTACATTACTGTTTATGTAGATTAAAAACAGTTGAATATTGTCAGTTTCATATGGTTCCTATTGCACGAATGCATTACAACTCACATAGAAATAGGCAGGGCTGTATAATCATCTTTTAGGGAGGAGGAATAAATAAGTAGGAATAAACAAAGTAGGCTACTTCAGTATGAAAACAACCCATCATTTATAACCTTATTGGGGAAAATGTACCTTGTGTTCTAAAGAACTCACTCTACATACTTAATGGGGTATATATGCATTTTTTTGTATTCGTGCATTCATACATATATTAGTGTGCACAGATTAAATAAATAATCAATGATACAGTATATGCTTCAATTTTCAAATAGCAGTATTAAATTGAACCTGTGTATATATATTTTTTTCATTGTAGGTATATTAAAGCAAGTGAAAGATTACATTAAGCAGTGTAGCAAATGTCAGGAGAAACTAGATCGTTCCCGTCCGATATCAGATGCTTCAGAAATGTTGGAGGAATTGGGGCTAGACCTTGAGTCTGGAGAAGAAAGTAATGAATCAGAGGATGACCTGAGCAATTTTACTTCACCTCCAACTACAGCTTCTAAGCCTGTGAAAAAGAAGCCGGTATCCAAACATGAACTTGTATTTGTAAGTGGTACTTTGCATTCCACTTTAATGTTTATAACTAGTATGTCAGTATTTTCAGTCTTAGTGAATTTTGTTTTTCTCAAGCCACCAAGACTGAGTGACTGTTGGCACTGACATTGCAGATATGAGCAGATTTATGTGTTTGAAGTAGAACTTGTTGAATAAGACATAGTGAGTAATGTACTGTGTTATATAAGCTGAAAATATGCTATTACCACCTCTTCAGATGTTCCTGTTGTTCCTTCTCTTCAGAATGTACTTAATAACCTATTGGCTTATTAATTACCCTTCCTTTCCTTTTTTTAATGGTAGATTGATAAGGTAGACAGAACACATTTCTGGAAGCAATCTCTGGGTCATGTGGTAAGGTAAAATTAAGCAGGCTTGGTCTTTGTTTCTTGGCAATTTTGTTCAATTTTATATACTGTCAAATTCTGATCAGTAGGAAGAGGCAGTTAGAAAGTATTTATTAGGTAAAGTAGAATAAAACAAAATAGTGAGGACAGGTTTCCTTTTATGTAACAGGCTATCAGTTATTTTTTCATTTTAGTGATACCTGTTAAAAAGGAATAGTTTGTCTAGTTGTAAGCTCTATCAAGGATAAAAATACAGATAATGTATAATACAACTCTTGATCTCAAACTTATTTTGATAGGTTGACACCAAAGGTGTGGTAAAACGATCTTCTCCAAAACACTGTCAGGCTGTCTTAAAACAACTGAATGAACAGAGACTTTCCAACCAGTTCTGTGATGTTACTTTGTTAATTGAAGGAGAAGAGTACAAAGCTCATAAATCCGTTTTGTCAGCTAACAGTGAATATTTTCGAGATCTTTTTATTGAGAAAGGAGCCGTTTCTGGTCATGAGGCTGTGGTGGATCTTTCTGGTAAGAATTTCCTAATATTCTTGCTTTTGTGTTTGTAAACATATTGTGGAAGGGGGATGTGTGTGTATATGTGTATCTTAGTAACTTTAGCTTTATGATAATTCTCTGTCCCTATCCTTATCACATAATTCTTGGCTATTCATAATCCTTTGCTCTTCCATGTAAGTTGTAAAATCAGCTATGGGCTTCCACACACAAAGAAAAAAAAGAAAAAGAATGAGTGTATTTTGATAGAGATTTCATCAAATTGATAAAAGTTTTAGAAATTTATCCATAAAGGTCTCATACATCTTTTGTTAGATTTATTCCAAGGAATTTTATACTTTTGATACTATTATAATTTGTTTCTTCTTAAAATTATATACTTTCTAATTTATTTTACTGTTTTATTTGAGAGTATCTACATAAAACAAACCTATTATCTGCTAATAATAATAATTGGTTTCTCCCTTTCCAATTCCTGAAGTTTGAACTTCTTGTTTTATAATGTTGGCTAGGACCTCAAAAAAATAGCAGTTTAATAGAAATGATGATAAAGCGTTCTCTTACCTTATCCCTAATTCTTACAAGAGATTTTTTTCACCATTAAATTTATAATTGAGTAAATATTTTTAACTAATCCTTTATCACATTTTACCATTAAGGAGATTTCCTCTGAAATGGATACTGATTCTTACCATTTTTGGTGGTGGTGGGGGGGAATCTATTGAGACCATTTTTATTTCTTTTCATATACTCTGTTAATGTGGGAAATTACATTCATTTTTTAACATTCAGTCAGTTTTTCATTCCTGAAATAAATGCAGTTTACCCATGATTACCTTTCATTTAATTGCCATGTTTGGTTTGCTAATATTGTTTAGAGCATTTGTATGAATAATTTTCACATTATTCTGTCATGCTTTAATATCAGAGATGTTCTGGCCTCAAAATGTGTCTTTAACTCCTTTAATTTTGTACATACACTATAATAGTTATTGTAAGATTAGAATTGTTTGTTTCTTCAATGTCTGGTAGAATTTTGGCTAGAATTACCTGGGCTTACATTGTACTTTGGGGGAAGATTTTTTTTTTTTTTTTTTTTATTAGGAGTTGGGTGAAGATTTACAGAGTAAATTCACTTTTCATACAGCAGTTCACATATACTTTGTCTCATGTCATTGACCAAAATTTACAATGCAGCAGCTCCCCTCCCACTTCCTCCCCATAGTTACCTCCTCCCAGTGTCCATCCCTTCATACTCTTCGAGAGGCCCATTGTCTGCCAACCCTGTATATGATCTTGGATACACTCTCCATTTAGACATACATAATTGTTTAGCTTGTTCACCCATCTATCCGTCCCTATACCCATGTTTGCTTTCATTAACAACTCAGTATTGTATTTACAAAGGGGTTCATATTTGTTGTTGTACTGCCCATGTAACTCTCTCTGTCTTTCTCATCCTCAATGCTGCCATATTGGTCACTCACATTTGGTACATTGCCCTTCTCTTCACCCAAATCAATATTTATCTCTATCTATCTAACAGCATTCCCTCCCCTTCCCTCCCACCCCTGGTAACCAACAAAGAAAATGTCCTCCAATATATAAACATTGGGGGAAGATTTTTAACTACAGATTTGAGAGCTTAATGGTTATGGAATTGTTTGGGTTTTTTATTTCATCTTGAGTAATTTATGAAAAATTATGTTTTCTGGAATTTGCCCATTTCATCTAAAGTTTCAAGTTAATTGGCACAAAATTTTCATAATATCCTCCAAAATGCCTCTAGCAACTGTAGGCATATCACCATTTTTATTTTGATACTTTGTAGTGATTTTGCTATCATTTTTAATTCTTTCTTACTACTTACTAGAGATTTATTGATCTTTTTTTTTTTTTAATCCTGCTAGAGCAGAATTTGGCAAACCACAGTATGGAGGCCATTTTCAGCCTCCAACTTGTTCTTGTAAATAAAGTTTTGTTGGAACACAGCCATATTTCCTTCATTTTTATATGTTACCTGTTTCTGTTTTAAGCTATGAGGGTAGAACTGATTAGTTGCAACACAGACCATATGACTTTAAAAGCCTAAAATTAACAGCAAATTAAATATAGCTACATACTTAATGAACTAGAATTTTCCAGAATAAACCATGAAGAATTTTATTTTATTTTTTCAGAGATTGGCTCACCAGTATCTATTGGTAGGTAGAGCAAGAAAAAAACTTAAAGGAAGACTGTCACCAATTCTATGTATGTCCTGGGATAATAAAAAGAAAAAATGTAATTCTATTTTTACAAACATTTTTTTTTAAATTTTTTATTGTGATTTGGGTGAAAAGTTTACAGAGAACATTGGTTTTCCATTCAATAATTCATACTTATTTTGATTCATGATAATGATTGTAGTCCCCACAGAGTAACAACACTCATTTGATTTCCTCTCTCAGTTTTCCTATTTCCATCCATCCTTCTTTCCTATTCCTTTCTGCCTTCTGAGCTTTATCCCTGGAAAATGCTGTCCTTTTGATCTCCTATGTTTCTAGGGAGTGCATACCTACTTGGTGTTACTATTCCCCTTATACAAAAAAAAAAATTAAAAAAACTGCCATCCAATCAGATGACTCATAGCAGCCCCTGCTTGGGTTTCTGAGGCAGTATCACTACAGAAGTAGATTGTCCAATCTTCCTTCTGTGGAGTGGCTGGTGGGTTTGAACCACCAGCCTTCTGTTTAGCAGTCAAATACCTTAGGCACTAAGCCACCAGAGCTTCCATTCCCCTTTAAGCCTGTATATTATTTGGCTGAAAGTTGAGCCACGGGGTGAATTCAGTTCCAGACTTAAAGGGTGTCTAAGGGCCATAGTCTTCAGGGTTCTACCAATCTCTTTCAGACCAGGAAGCCTGTTCCTTTTTATGATTTTGAGTTTTGTACCAGTTTCTTCCACTCTACACAGGACCTTCTATTTTGATCCCTTTTAGAACGGTTGACAGTGGTAGCTGCACACCACCTAATTCTTCGTGGAGGCTGGGATTTCAAAACCACACTCAACTGCGATGGAGTCAGTTCGACTCATAGCAGCCCCCATTGGGTTTCTTTATGGAAGTAGATTGCCCTTCTGCAGAGTGGCTGGTGGGTTTGAACAACCAGCTTCTGGTTAGCAGTCAGTGCCTTAGGCACTATAGCACCAGAGCTCCCAATGGACCACACTAATCCCAGGCTGCATTTCTTTGTGGAGGCTAGGGTTAGTGCAGTCCATTAGTCCATAAATCCTTTGTGCTACCTTTATATCTGATAATAACAATACTTAAAATCTTTCTTGGTCTGATACAGCCTGTTTGTTTCTGCTGGTTCTCATTCATGATGTCTTACTTCTTCATGATTTTTTTCTTAAATTTATGTATTCTGAAGTCATATTGTTTAAAACTTTATCTGTGGGAAATCTTTGAGTCCTGAATTGAGAAGGTTTTCCACAGATAAGGGGTTTGATTCTGTTAGATGCTGTGGAGATATTACTAGCCTGGGGCTACTTTAAATTCTCAGCTGGAGGGATTTTTTGGCCACCCAAATGCTGTATAGTCAATAACAAAGCACTAAATGAAGCCTAGCATGTGGCCTTGACTTCTCTGGGAAGATTCCCCCAGTCTCCTGCTTCTACTCAGTGTTAGAATCCTGAGTATATTTAAAATAATATCTTAACTTACTTTACCCATACTGCTGGATACAGAAGTCCCTGTCATTTTTCTGTCTTTAACAGTTGTCCATTTCGTTTTGATCAAAATGTCTCTCTCTCTTTCTGTGTATGCATGTGTACATGCACACATGTATGTATGTGTAAAAAAAGCAAGGGGTAAAATGAAAATACCAGAATATTTGTCTGTTATTTCTTGGCACTAGGATTATGGGTGATTTTTATTATTCTCCTTTGTGTTTTGTAGTATTTTACAGTGTACATAGACTTGTATCTTTGAAAAAATATTTAAGTGTTAATTTGGAACAATATTAATTCATTCATGGGAGATTTTTCTTATGACTTTGAACATAGAAGTTAAAGTAATAGGTGAAAGACCAAAATACATGATTTTGTTGGTGTGTGATTTTTTTTAAAATTTTTATTTTGATGATGAAAGTTTACAGAGCAAATTCCCTGTCATACAGCAACTCACCTACACTTTGTCTCATGACATTGACTACAATTTCCCACAGTGCAATAGCTCCTCTCCCCCTTCCTCCCCGTAGTTACTCTTCTTTGTGTCCTTCCTTCCCATGCACTCCTGCCTCCCAAGCTGTCTCCCTGTGCATACACAGCCCTTCTGTTCTCCCATGATTGATCTCTCCAAGGAGTGTATCTACTTAGTGTAAATGTTCAGCTCATATGCCTGTCTTTTGTTTGGCTAGAAACCACAGGTTCAATTCCAGACCTGAAGGGCAGCTAGGGGCCATGGTCTCAGGGGTTCCATCAGGCTCTATCAGACCAGCAAACCTGATCTCCCCCCCTTTTTTTTCTTCAGTGATTTTGAGTTTTGTTCCACATTGTTCTCCCGTTCTATCTAGGATCTCCTACAGAGATCCCCCTCTGCGTAGTTGACAGTGGTAGCTGGGCACCATCTAGTTCTTCGGATCTCATAGTCATACGGGCTGAGGATTGCATGGTGTACCAGTTGCTTGAACTAATTGTTTCCATGTGTCTTTGGTTTTCTTCATTCTTCTTTGCTCTAGACGGGGAGAGACCCATTGTTACTAGATGGCCACTTGGAAGCTTTTTAGATCTCAGCTGCTACTCACCAAAATAAGAGGTGGAACAATGTTTTGGGTAGTATTTTATACCAATTAAGCTTGATGTCCCCTGCAACTATGGTCCTCAGCCCACAGGTCCAACTCCTCTTTCTCTCTGGGTAGCTGTCTGTGGTCAAGAAGTGACTACAACCTTGCCCCTTGTCAGCGCTACTATATACCTGGGAATTCTTACAGAACATACCAATACACTTGTAGAAACATTGTCTGTCAACCCTATACATGGTCTTGGGTACACTCCCCCCTGTATAGATATACCTAATAGTTCAGCCTGTCCACTGATCTGTCCACCCATATATCAGTGTTTGCCATCACTGACATCATAGTACTATATGTGCAAAAGGGTTCATCTTTGTTGTCTGCACCTCCCATGCACCTCTCTATGTCTTCCTCTTCCTCAATGCCACCGTGTTGATCACTCATATTTAGTAAATTGTCCTTCTCTTCACCCAAAGTGTGTGATTTTTTTTTAAGATAAATTTTCTTACTTACCTCAAGTTTAACTTGGTTTCATAGTTTTTCGCAGGATTAATATAGTTCAAACTTGGCCTCATAATTTGTAGGAGGATTAATATGAATTTTTAAAAGATTGCTTTGCTCTCTATCTATTATAAACAAAAGATCTCCAAAATAAATTATATGAAAAAAGCAAGGTGTGGAACAGTATGTATAACCCAGTAACACCTAGTATATGCAGGGGGAATAGAAATATTTGCCTGACCGTATAAACAAGCTCTGAGAAGCTATACAAATTCTTTACATACTGGTTATGGAAATGGAGTTATACTTATCACTGTGTAATATTTTATCTTTTCTCAGTTTTGAGTCCTGTGAGTATTAAAAAATTTAAATTGCTTTTGAAAAGTTGAAGCACTGAGAACTTAGAATAGAAATGAACTAACCTTATTTTCTCAAATAAAATAAGAATGTAATACCTCATGTGTTTCCATAGAGCAGGGATAGCAGACTACAGCCCAAGGGCCATCTTTTCCCCATTGTATTTTTATAAATATAGTTCTGTTGGGACATAGCCACACCCATTCATTTATGTATTATCTATGGCTTTTGTTTTCCAGCTACATGACAGAGTTGAGTCCTTGTAACAGATGATGCCTTTTGGCTCACATTATAAATCATGTGACCCTTGGCAGAAAAATTTTGCAGACCCATGCCTTAAACCTTGGTTTTTAATTTTTAGTGATAGAACCCTTTGCTCAATTGAATTTTAATATAGAAATATCTATTATTAAAAAGTACAGCTATACCTGCTGAAAGTGAGGTTAGGGGACAGATTGGTTGAACCCCTGCCTACTCACCTCCCTCCCTTTTTTTCTACCCTCCATTCTCCAGCATCTGTTTCTTGAGGAGAATTTGTGGAACCCCCGGGGTTCTAAAGGAGTACAGTTTGAAAATGACTGCCTTACAGCAACTCTTTGAGGTAGTAAGTCTGATATTATCTTATATTTTAGGTATTGAGAGACTCGGGCTAGAAGTGAGATAGTTAAGGTTTAATAAGCATACAGAGCACCAAACAAATCCAGGGGTGTTTAATTGAAGAATAAATGGTCACATTTGCCTTTATATTCTATTTCATATTGTCATAATTCTATATTAATTGTTCCTCTGAGGTGTTTTACTGATGATTGATTGACTTTTTTGTCCCCTGCCTTTCTTGTTTCATACAGGTTTTTGTAAGGCAAGTTTCCTTCCTTTACTAGAATTTGCCTATACTTCTGTGCTAAGTTTTGACTTCTGTAGCATGGCTGATGTAGCCATCTTGGCTCGTCATCTTTTTATGTCAGAAGTTTTAGAAATCTGTGAAAGCGTACATAAACTAATGGAAGAGAAGCAGCTAACAGTATATAAAAAGGGTGAAGTACAAACAGTTGCATCTACCCAGGACTTACCAGAACAGAATGGAGGAACGGCACCTTCTGTGGCTAGCAGTGGGGGAACTACAACAACTTTATCTACTGAACTTGGGGATTGTGAAATTGTACTACTAGTAAATGGAGAATTGCCAGAAGCTGAGCAAAATGGAGAGTTAAGACAGATTGAGCCCCAGGTTTCTTCAATGGCTGAAGCTTCTCTGTCTTCTGTCGGATGTATCACTGATTCCCATCCAGAAATAAAAATTGTTGATATAGCAACAAAAAACAACCAGACGGAACAAGAAACTTCAAACAGCAGAGAAGACACCACAGTTTCAAATACTTGTCCTGAACTTTCAAAAGAAAATGTAGTCAGTAACTCCCTAGAGAACAGTGATACAGGAAACGATACATCACCTGAGGATATTTGTGCTGAGGAGATTCCAGAACATAGACAGAACCTTGCACAACCTTTAAAAGATGAAGAAGATCTAGTTGTGCCAACAGCAAAGGCAGACCTTGGCCTTGATGGTGATACCTACAGAAGCAGGCTTCGGCAGCGTTCTGTTAGTGAAGGAGGATATATCAGACTACACAAGGGAATGGAGAAAAAGCTGCAGAAACGGAAAGCTGTTCCCAAGTCAGCAGTTCAACAGGTATGATGTAAAACAGGTTGAGCTTTGTAGTTTTAGCTTTAGGTTGAAAGCATTCTATTCAAATGTATGGTGAACATTATTTGGAAGTGATACAGGGAAGTAACTTACTGTTTTAAATACAAACAGTAATGTGAATTTGAAATATTTTTGTTAGAAATTTATAACATGACTCATAACTTTAAAAATCAGAATAAGGGCAGACAATGGTCCTATAAGTTTATGTGAATGATCAGAATTCCCAGGTATATGGTAGAGCTGACAAAGGGCAAGGTGGTGGTCACGGCTTGGTCACAGCCAGCTACCCAGAGGGACCGAGTAGTTGAACCTGCAGGCTTGGGACCATAGTCACAGGGGTCATCAAGCTCAATTGGCATAACATACTATACAAAACATTGTTCCACCTCCTACTTTGGCAAGTAGCGACTGGGATCTTAAAAGCTAGCAAGATGCCATCTAGATGCAATGATGGGTTTCTCCTCGTCCAGAGCAAAGAAGAATGAAGAAAACTAAAATTAATGGAAACAATTAGTCCTAGCGATTGGTACACCATCCAATCTGCAGCCTATATGACTATGAGACCAGAAGAACTAGATGGTGCCTGGCTACCACTGTCATCCACTTGAAAGGGGATCTATGTAGGACATCCTTGATAGAGAGCGAGAACAATGTGGAACAAAACTCAAAATCATTTGGAGAAAAAAAAAAACAGGGGACCAGGTTTGCTGGTTGGATAGAGCCTGGTGGAACCACTGAAACTATGGTCCCTAGCTGCCCTTCAGGTCTGGAATTGAACCCACACCTGTGGTTTCCAGCCAGGCAGAGGACAGGCAGATGAGTTGAACATTTACCTTGGGTAGATACACTCCTTGGAGAGAACAAGCATGGGAGAAAGAAGGGCTGCTTATGCACAGGGAGACAGCTCAGGGGGCAGGAGTGCATGGAGGGAGGACACAGGGAAGAGGTAACTATGGGGAGCAAGTGGAAGGGGAGCTGTTGCATTGTGGTAAACTGTGGTCAATGTCATGAGACAAAGTGTGTGAACTACTGTATGGAAAGTAAATTTGCTCTGTAAACTTTCACCCAAATCACAATTTTTAAAAAAAATCAGAATAAGTATACTTACTTATTTTCTATCCCTTAATTAGGTAGCCCAGAAATTAGTTCAAAGAGGAAAAAAGATGAAACAGCCAAAAAGGGAAGCTAAAGAGAACACTGAAGAAGCATCCCATAAATGTAGGGAATGTGGGATGGTTTTTCAGAGACGGTATGCCCTTATAATGCACACACTGAAACATGAAAGAGCTAGAGATTATAAATGTCCGGTAAGTATCTGGAAAACTAATTTAAAAAAATAGTCTAATTTTATGATAAATAGGATCCTATTTACTGCTAGATCGTTATTCTACTGCTTGTATTCTCTCTGTCTCTTTTGCAACTTCTACGTGTTGTTGTTGTTGTTGTTATGTGCCGTCGAGTCAGCCCCAACTCATAGCAACCCCTCCTTGGGTTTCTGAGGCAGTACCACTACAGAAGTAGATTGTCCAACCTTCCTTCCAAGGAGTGGCTGATGGGTGTGAACCACCAGCCTTCTGGTTAGTAGTCAAGTGCCTTAGGCACTATGCTACATATTGCTGTAAGGTTAACCTTAATTGTACAGATCATTTTCTTACCAAAAAAAATCATTGGTGACTTACCTCTACTTCCTTCTGATACCCTAGTAAGACAACAGTAAAATGACAGGTTTAAAAATACAAACTCAATAAAGGGCAAAAAGAACAGGAAAAAGAGTCCTTAGCAACTAAATTCTTGAAGCTAGTAAATACATGGAGGACTAATAACTGATTTAGCAGATTTGTAAGAACTCAATTCTGTGCTTTCAGTAGGAAAAGCTAAGAATCTCCCTAAATTGGTCTGGAATTGAACTCACTCCTGTAGCTTCCGGCCAAACAATAGGCATAGGGGATGAACATTTATAGCAGATAGATACACTCCTTGGAGTGATCAGTCATGGGAGAACAGAAGGGCAGTGTATGCACAGGGAGACAGCTTGGGGGCGGGGGCGTCAGGAGTGCATGGGAGGGAGGGACACAGAGAAGTGGTAACTACTGGGAGGAAGTGGGAAGAGAGCTGCTATTACATTGTGGGGAATTGCAGTCAATGTCATGAAACAAAATGTGTATGAACTGCTGTATGGAAAATGAATTTGCTCTGTAAACTTTTACCCAAATCACAATAAAAATTTAAAAGAATCTATCTGAATTATATTCCAGAGCTCCCAAAATTTTCGAAACTTGGTGGTACCAACAATCTCGAAAGTAGAAGTAGGTCTGGTTGTTAGAGAAAATTGTTGTAAGAAGCAGTTAAATCCGCACTCCTAAAAATTGCCTAAAAATCTGCCACTCTTTGGAAAAGATAAAACCATAACTGCTATGGGGAGTACCACAGTAAAGGTGGGTGTGCTGTACCAAAAACAGGGAAAAATAAAAGTTTACATACTGAATATTGAGACTTTAAAGTACTCTTTCCCCATTTAAGTCCCAGGATGTTGGCAGCCAAACCCTTAACTCTGAAAGCAAAAGACAGAAGGGCTTCTATCTTTGAAAAATCCAAAGCCCGATAAAAACAGACCAAAAGATTCTGACCTTCCCACAGAGTAATTCCAGTTAGTTTTTTAATAACTTACTCTGAAATCGGAACAAACACCAAGGATTATCTGACTCACGACAAAAGGTTTCATGAAAAACTTTGAAGAATCTGAGAATGTGGGGAGATAAGAAAACTTAAATAATAATTTTTTAAAAAGTATCCTTTATAGCAGAGATAAATTTTAAAAATTGCATATATAAAACAATAACCAAATACTTTTTTTAAAAAAGGTTACATTAAGAGAACAGAAGAGTCTTAGGAATAAAGTTAAAAAAAAAAAAATTGCAAGCATTATTACAGTTCTTTTTTTATTTTTCCAATCCCTATTTATGCTCTGCCTAACAACTCTTAGTAGTCATTGAGTGATAGAATTCTCCTGTCTTTGTCTAAGTCCTACCATTCCTTCAAGACTCTGCTTTGTGAATGATGCCTTTCCTTACTATTCTAATTATACCTTCCTCATGGCTGCTTTATCTTTTTTATACCTAAATCTTGTTTCTGCAGTTAGATCATAATGTACCTAGCATATTTACATATATTTTACAGAATATGTGTATTAATTTACATAATAATAGCAAATGAAAAATTGAAATGCAAGGTGAATTTCATTTACTATTTTGTAACGGAATACATTTAGACAGAATTTTATTTACTTTTTCTCTTAGTTATGTAAAAAACAATTTCAGTACAGTGCTTCCTTGAGAGCACACCTTATTCGACATACCAGAAAAGACGCACCCACTTCATCCTCTTCCACTTCCACATCTAATGAAGCATCGGGAACATCATCTGAGAAGGGCAGAACCAAACGAGAGTTTATATGTTCCATATGTGGAAGGACATTACCGAAATTATATTCTCTTCGAATACATATGTTAAAGCACACAGGTGTGAAGCCACATGCATGCCAGGTAAAGCTATTCATTTATTTTGTTATTTAAAGAAGATTGGAACTAATTGGTATATGTTCTGGAGTCACCCCTCCCTACTCTTGTAAAATACCACAGTGAAATCTGTCCTCTTCACTTTGTTGCCTAGGTCAGCGGTGATTGTTTCTCTGTTGTGGTCTTTAGTTTGCTGTGGAGAGTTATAATATGAAAAGGGTTTACTTAAAATGTTCATGGAACTTTTTAGGGTCCAGAGGATGTATTCAGTGTGAATAACCAGGTCATCATCCTAACCATTTCTTAACCTTCAGCAGGACCAACCTGGACTAGAAAGGAATCCATGGCTGAAAAAAGTCTGAGTCAGCAAAAGTTCTGCCTAAGCTATATGTCCTACCAGTGAGGACTGAGCCTTCCTAAATGCCAAAATATGACTCCTGGGTAAAGAATCCTCTATAATTAGCCAGCTTTGGGCTATTTGAAACTGAAAATTTTCTAGTAGCACCTGTATTTATTAATGATTTTTTATTAATAAATAGTTTTAGAACCAATGTGATTTCTTATATTTCTCTTTTTTAAATTTTTATTACAGGAGAATAAAATATAAGAGACTAGAATGAACCTCCATAGTCCCCTCACCCACCTTCAGTAGTTATCAGTTCATGGTCAGTCTTGTTTTATGTATTCTGTCATTCACTGTCCTACTCCACCCCTACTTCCATAATTTGGAGCCAAGTACAAAGCATCATTTTATTTGTAAATTTAAATGTTAAGTATTAATTGGGCTCTGGTCTTTTAGTGCAGCACTACTCACAAAAGGTGATCCAGGCAAGGTAAGTATAGAAATAGAGAATAAGCAGGGGTGCAGCTCTAGTTCTGCCCTGTAATGCACATCGTCGCCATGAGGCAGAATTGACTTGATGGCAATGGGTTTGGTTTCTCTTTGTTTCAATAGTGCCTTCCAGTCTGACAAGGGTGGCATGAGGTATGTTTGCACTGTTTTGATCTCCTCCAGCAATAACATGGATTTAAGAAAAATAACAGCAGTCTTTGAGTATTGAGTCAGAAGGGTGTCAGCTAATACCCTTGGCACTTGTAGTTTCGACTTTCCTGTTGTCATTTTAAGCTTTACTTAAAATGGCATACTAGTTTCTTTGTTCTTATTCTTCAGAAACAGTCCCTTTGTCTTTTGTTTTACTCATTTAATCACCTCTGTTCTTTCTTAGGTCTGTGGAAAGACTTTCATCTATAAACATGGTCTGAAATTACACCAGAGTCTCCACCAATCACAAAAGCAGTTCCAGTGTGAACTATGTGTTAAGTCATTTGTTACCAAACGAAGTCTTCAAGAACATACGAGTATTCACACAGGTAATGTGAAATTTATGTTGACATATTTCATATAGTATTAGTTTATTATTATGTTGATATGTTGTAATTAGAGGTTATATTGATGGTTGTGTGTGTACTTTTTTTAATTAATGAGTGTTTAAAATTAAAAAGTTTTCTTAAACCTAGTTTTAGAGTTATTTGTGTAAAAATATTGTTTTTCTCAGTGTAGACAAATTATGTGCTGAGTGTTAAATCATGCATAATTTAGATCCAGGCCCTAAAGAAATAGTCATGCTTTAAAACAGTTTAACATGGTAAGTGGCTTATAATTTAATTTGAATTTTTATTCTACACATACTTATTTTCAGATTCTTTATAGCAGGTACATGGAAATGGCTGTACGTGCTCTAGAACTTGTATTCACCTCTGTCACCATTATAATCCATAGATTACACAAGCATATCACATTCTTTGGGTAGTAGCCTTTGCTGGAGGAGCTCTGGTGCTGTAGTACCTAAGGCACTTGACTGCTAACCAGAAGGCTAATGATTGAAACCCACTATAGTTGAGAGGTGTAACTATGGCATGGTGGCAGAGGCATCTGACCTCCTCTTACTTTCACAAGGCAGGAAGGGGATCATTATCAGCAACAACCACCTAAGGCTGATTGCTGTGAGATAAGGGTCAGCCTTGCCTCCCCCTTCCTGCCTTTTTACCAATTCTGACACCAACCATCCTTCCCATGACACTCCACTTTTCTGCTGGGTTTGATAATTTGTTGCAGGGACCACACAAAAATCACAAACATCATTTACAGTTGGGGGATTTATTAGGGTGGTAACAGTTACAGTTCATATCAAGGAAAACTCAGGAATATAGTTCTTTAATCAGAACAGCCTTTTCTCAGCCATTCTGCAAGTGGGCCTCTGTCTGGTACTGAGCCCTCTGAGGGGCCTCTTTGACTGGCCTGGCCTCTACCCTGTTTGTGCAAGTATTACAGAGCTCTCTTTTAGCTCTGCTGGTAAGTGCCCAGGGGTATTCCACTCTACCAATAAGCCTTCTGCCCAGAGGCATTCAGTTTTCCAGCCCATGGGGCTGAAAAGCCCACTGTACCATCTCCTGCCAATCTTCTGCCTCTGTTGCCTCTACTGCTGCCATTTCTTTGCCCCTGCTTCCTGCCATCTCTCACTGTCTCTCCAGTGTTACAGCATTCTCTTGTCTCCTGGATCTAGGAGGCTTCCAGCACAGGGACCCCAGGTCTAAAGGATGGGCACCATTCCTGGCTCTTCTTTCTTGATAATCATGAGGTCCCCTCTCTGCTCTGGAATTAGCACTCTTTTAAGCCTAGCGGCATGGCAAGACTACAAACAGATCTCTTTGTTAGGGTTCCATACACCTTATTTGCATGGTCCCACCTCCACAAGTTTACTATGTACCTTAATTACATTATAAACAAGCTATCTAATCCCCTCAGTGGGCCACAAGCACCTCATTTACTTAGTCCCACCCAGTTGTTCAGTGGGAGTTACAAAGACTATGGTTAGATGGGCCATGCTAAGTAATTTACTGTACCAGAACAGGAAATAGAGATTCTGACATTGTTATTATTTGAAGGTGGCTGCCAAATAAAGCTTCTGTGTCACCTTTACGTAAAATAAATGCTGAAGTGTGGTATAAAGAATTCTGTTGGTGTGGACCTGATAGCTGGATTTGTGACATGGCTTTTCTTTTTCACAGGAGAGTCCAAGTACCTTTGCTCAGTTTGTGGGAAGTCTTTTCACAGGGGCTCTGGACTTAGCAAGCACTTAAAGAAACACCAGCCAAAGCCTGAGATACGAGGCTATCATTGTACTCAGTAAGTATTTCATATGTGATGCGTTCAGTTAATTTCATTATTTTCTTACTCAGTTTATTTGAAAGTTGTTTTCAGAAGAAAATATTATGTGAGATATTTGCCAAAGAGGCAAGGAGGCTGCATCTTCTGACCTCCTCTAACCCCACAAGAGGAGGACAGGATCACCATGAGCAGCCCAAGGCCTATTCCTGCAACACCAGACATGATGCCTCCCTCCAACCCTTTCATCAACCCTGACACCAACCGTTCCTCCCGCAGCACCCACCACCTCTGCTGGGTTCGATAATTTGCTGCAGTGGCCACACGCAACTCACGGATTATGGGGTTTATTATGGAAGCAACAGACTACATTTCAAGTTCAGGAACACGCTCAGTCTCTCTATGTCTCTACCAGCAGCATGTGTCTCTCGAGGTCTCTTAGACAGCAGTCAGAGAGACTCCTTCTGCTTCTAGGAGGGCTCCTTCTGAACCTGGCAGAGTGACCAAACTAACCAATCCCAACATCAGAATACTATATACACTTGAGAGAGAAAGAACTTCCAGAAGACTGTTTCACACTGCTCCCAACAGAAAGTGGATCCCCAGGTGGATAACTTGCAGTCAGGAGCTACTCAGTTGCTCACAGCAAATTCCACCGTGGAATTTACAAAGACTTATGGCTAGAAAAGCCATACCACATAATTTACTATACTGCAGGCCACCCCCTGGCTTTTCTAGCCTTTATCCTTTTTATACCTCAAAAATTAATATCTCCTTCACCATCAGTTTAAGGATAACCCATGAAAGTGTATAAGCCTGCCACTTCATACCTTTATCTTCCCCCATTTTAGATAGCCAATTTCTGATTTGCCCATCCCTATCAAACCAGTACTATGAAGAGACAAGCGATGTTCCTCTCTCCCTGAAGAATCTTCTGTTCTGCTTGGAAATTTTGGGCATCTGCATCTATAAATAAGCAAAGTCCAGCCTAGCGTAAGCCATCAAATTGCAGCAACTTAACACCAGCTCAGTGTCAAACATCATCGTCTTCATTTGTTCAGGTTCTGGTTAGCTCAGCCCTAGCCATTCCAGCTAGGTCATGGGTACCAGCTGCCAAGTTTGGGGGTCACACTCTTCACTTCACACTAGCCAGCACCTCCTCTCACATCCTCAGTCCTTGGGGACTATTTCAATGCCCATAGGCTCACAACTCCTTGTATTTCAGACCAGCCAGCCCTTCCTCTCATCCCCAGCCTCCGTGGCCTAGGTCAAAGGGTACCAAACTCAGCCCGTTTCTTCATTGCTGCTCTTCCCCCATTTCCACTCAAGTGGACCCAGGTAGTCACAAGTGAGCAGCATACAAGCCTACTACTACTCACTGGCTTCTTTTAACTTTCAGTCCTGGAAGGAGTTTCTCTAATGGACCATTACTTTCCTGCCTTAATGCACCCAAAGCCTAACTGCTTGCTTGAAATTAAAAAAGCCAGTGTTTTTTTTTTTTTCCCCCTCTCTGTAGGTTCTGTCTTGAATGCAGATCTTCTTTTCTCTCAGTAGTTCTGGTTGGGTCTTTTCAAATGCAAATGTACTCGCATGGGTTCTGAATGGGGCCCGGGTTTTCTACCTAAACCTTTATAATCTACACAGAGTTTGAAACAAAAGCCTGTGTTTTTTCTGGGCAAATTCTATTTCCCCTTTTAACATATCCAATCAAGTATCATCTGAAGGTAGCTTGGATGCTCTCCGTTATCCATACCCGTAATCATTTCTAATGTACAACTAGGTAAGAGAACATGCAGTATCCATAGTACATTCAGATAAACAGAATCCTTTGTAAGACATTCTAGGTTCATCTCTTCACCTTGATTACCTTCCCATTCTATGTATATGGCCTTGGGCCTTTGGCTGGGTGTAACCCAAAGCCCTAGCCTCTAGATCAATTATCTTCCTTAATAGGTAATACTAACCAAAGTAACCATCTGAGAACCCAGTTTTACTTCCCAGGCTCCTTCCTTCTTTCTTTTACAAAGGACCTCTGGTAGTGTAGTGCCTAAGGATTTGACTGCTAACCAGAAGGCTGGTGTTTCAAACCCACCATCCACTCCACGGAAGGAAAATTGGGCGATCTACTTCCATAGTGATACTGCCTCAGAAACCCAAGAAGGGGTTGCTATGAGTCGGATACAACTCGACGGCAGTGAGTCTGGTTTTTTGGTTTTATGCTTCTATGAGTCTGGAGCCACTGCAATGAATCCCACCACTTCTGACACCAGCTGCCAAAGGGGCAGGGAGGCTACATCCCACATCTTCTGACCTCCTGTAACCCCAAAGAGGAAGACAGAATCACCATCAGTAGCCACAGGCCTATTCCTGAAAGGCCAGGTATGCTGCCTCCTGCCAGCCCTTTCATCAACCCTGACACCAACTCTTCCTCCTGCAGCACCCACAACCTCTCTGCTGGGTTCAGTAATTCACTGCAGTGGCCACACAGAACTCACAGATTATGGCGTTTATTAGGGAAGCAACAGATTACAATTCAAGTTCAGGAACACACTCTGTTTCTCTCAGCCCACCGTCTCTCAGCCGACAGTCTCTCTCAGCAGTGCATGTTTCTCCAGGTCTCTCTTTCAGCAATGTGTGGCTCTCGCATCTCTTAGCCAGCAGTGAGAGATTCCTTCTGCCTCTAGGAGGACTCCTTTTGAGCCTGGCAGAGTAGCCAAACTAACCAATCAGGAGCTACTCAGTTGCTCACAGCAGATTCTACCACAGAGTTTACAAAGACTTATGGCTAGAAAACCCATACTATGTAACTTATTACATTGCAATATTAAACTGTAATTTCAGTTTACTCTTGATTTCAGTCTTTTTTTTCCCCCCTAGGTGTGGCTATATATTATAATTTTCAAACTGCATTATTGAAGTATAAATCATATACCATACAGATAACTTAATTAAATTTAAAGAGATTCTCCAAATGTGCTCCATGGAGGTGGGGACTGTAGGAAAGAAGAGTCCTCACTACCAACCAGAATTTTTTCTAGGCAGTTCCTCTGAAGTCCTTAATAGTTTTCTCCTTCCTTCAGATTACTTTTATCCCTTTTTCCATTTTCTAAAACATTCTGATTTTTTTTTAATTCAAGTATGAACATAACCCTAAAATTAACAATTTTAACCAATTTAATTCAGTGACTTTTAGTATACTCACAATGTTGTGCAACCACCTCCACTAGTCAGTTTACAGCTCTGCCTTAGCCTTTACTTCCTGCTTGTGCAGATCCTGACGGTCAGCCAGAGGTGAGAGATTAGCACCTTCCTGGGTCTTTTCTGAGCATGCACCTAGACCAGCCATGGGCAAGCATGTGGCCTTTTAGATTCCCTGGTGCAAAAAAGACGAGGACAGCATCTTCTGACCTCCTCTAACTTCACAAGAGGAAGATAGAATAACCATCAAACAGCCCAAGGTTTACTCCTAGGAGACCAGACATCCTGCCACCCTCCAGCCTTTTTATTAACTCTGACACCAGCTATCCCTCCCACAGCACTTATTACTTCTCTGCTGGGCTCTGACAGTTCATTGCAATGGCCACACAGAACTTACAGACAATACTTATGATTATGGGGTTTATTAGGGAAGTAAGAGGTTACAATTCAGGTTGTGCCCAGGATACAATTCTTGGCTCATGACAATCTGCCCTCTGCTGTGCCCCTCAGGCTTGCCTCTCTGGCCCTTAGCCTCTCGGCCTGGCCTCTGCCTTGCTCAGACAAGTGTTACAAAATTCTTTTAGCTCTGCCAATAGGTATGCCTAGGTACACCTCTGTGCATCTTACTCCCCCAGCAAGCCTCCTGCCCAAGAGCACTCCGCTTTCTTGCTCTGTGAACTGGAAAGCCTGCTGCTCTGTCTCGCCTCTTGGTTCCTCTGCTGCCTTCTCTCAGCTAGGCATCTCTTTCTGCCTGGCATCTCTGCCATGGAGGTCTAGTGCAAGGATCCTGGGTTCAAGGACACTCTACTTCACCTCCAGCTCTTCTCTCTCCCAATGGCAGTGCAGAAGGCTGATTTTTAGCCTGCCAGAATGACGAAACTATCCAATCCCAACATCAGAGTTCTACACACCTTACTTGCATGGTCCCACCCAGTAATCCAGTGGGAGTTACAAAGACTACGGCTAAAAAAACCATACCAGGTAATTCGGTGCACTGCACCAGGAACATATGTGAGCTTTTCAAAGACCTGGTGACACAAAGGTTAAACACTTGGCTGCTAACTGAAATATTGTCTGTTCAATCTCACCAACAGGAGAAAAGACCTGGCAGTCTGCTCCTATAAAGATTATCGCCTAGGAAACCCTATGGAGCTGTTCCACTTTGCCTTGTAGGGTCGTTATGAGTCAGAATAGACTCGAGGGCATACACAACACATCTCCAAAGCACTTTATTCCCCAGCCATTACTCTCAAACTTTATCTGTTGTTTACCCAGCTGTTACTCCTTGTCCCAGTTGTCTGCAGCTAATACATTTACCTTTGAGAATAAGGGGTGTTCTCCCTCTGTTACTAGGGACCTGTACTGGGAATATGGGCTGTTGTCTTCAAGGCCACTGCCAAGTTGAGGAGCAGTGGATGGGGCTAGGTTAAGTTAAAATGCCACAAAGTTCTATTAGTATTTTTCTTGATTAAGCATTTGCCTGGTTGCTATAAACTTGATTAGTTTTCAGGAGTTTTGATAAGGTTGGTTCTGACAGTTTTTGCCAGTTAATTCCCTGCTTTTTTGGAGATGTGGGCTTTTGGAATTCCTTACTCTACCATATTTGCTGATGGCACTATAATCAGTCTTGTTTCAAAACAAAAAGTTTACTATTGGGATATTTCCAATTGCAAATGAAAGAAAAGTCAACCTAAACTGGACTGAATAAAAGGTAGTCTAGGAGTCTAAATCGTTCAACTAAAATCAGTTCAGAATCATTAGTACTACTTGGTTTCCCTCAGGCTTCATAAGATTACAGAGTAATGGCAGCTGTTCAGCCTCACGTCATCTCAACTCCCATGTAGTCAAACTTCTGTTATAGCAGCTCCAGTAAAAGCCCAGAGGTTCTCTTTGATTTTATCAAGTTTAATCATTTGTTCATCCCTGAATCAAACACTGGGGTCAGTGTTGTGTTCTGATAGACGTAGGCCTAGAGTCAGGGGCAAAGCCTGTCCCTAGGATGCAGACAGAGAATGGGGCAGGGAGTGAATCCCAAAATGAAAATGTAAGGCTTCTTCTGCAAAAGGGATCAAATGGGAGGAGACAGACAATCAGTGATTTTTTTCTAAAATATTTCTAACACTCTAAAGATAAAAGAACTTAAAAGCCTGCTGCCTTGATACAAGATTGGAATGCTAGGAAATTCTTTTGCTTCAAATTGATACCATCTTGTGGCGTTCTAGAAACCCAAGCATAGATTGAGTTCTTAGAAACTTGTTTTAATGGGATAAGAAGATGATCCAGTTGGGTGATTGAACTTTATTATTGCAGATGTGAAAAAAGTTTCTTTGAGGCTAGAGATCTTCGCCAGCACATGAATAAGCATCTTGGTGTGAAGCCATTCCAGTGCCAGTTTTGTGATAAGTGCTATAGTTGGAAGAAAGATTGGTATTCCCATGTGAAGTCTCATTCTGTCACTGAACCTTACAGGTAGGTAAATTTGAGGAGGATCTGAACTTAATTGAGATATACACACACACACACACACACATAACACATAGATACATACTTGGATTGATTCCAAAGGTTCCTGGTGTTTCAAAAAAAAGTAATTAGGGTTTTCTCCCCTATTTTAGGTGTAATATATGTGGTAAAGAATTTTATGAAAAAGCATTGTTCAGAAGGCACGTAAAAAAAGCTACCCATGGGAAAAAAGGAAGAGCAAAGCAAAACCTGGAACGAATATGTGAACAATGTGGAAGAAAATTCACTCAACTGAGAGAGTATAGGAGACACATGAACAATCATGATGGTAACTATACTTAATATATGTGTTTCAATAGAACAAAAGTCAGTCCAGTAGTGATTCTCCTTTCATCAGCTCTTTCTTACTACCACATATTCCTTAATAAGAGATTAATCCCACTTCTTGGAACACTTGGTTGATACAAGTGACTGAACAGTTTTCAAATTGTTGTATATATGTGTAGATTCCTTTTTCAGTAAGCTTAATTCCATGTCAACATTTTAATGTTGAACTAGACTATGTGAGGGAGCTCTGGTGGCATAGTGCCTAAGGCATTTGACTGCTAACCAGAAGGCTGGTGATTCAAACCCATCAGCCACTTCTCGGAAGGAAGACTGGGCAATTTACTTCCGTAGAGATACCACCTCAGAAACCCAAGGAGGGGTCACTATGAGTCGGATTCGTATCAATGGCAGTTGAGTTTGGAGTCTGGAGACTGTGAAGCCTGTTTCTTTATCCTAAGTATTTATCATTAGAGGATTGCTGTGAAGATTAAATGAGATTATGCATGGAAACCATTTAACTCAGATTTGTTGCTCAGTAATTTCTACACATGGGAACATCTTTAGAGAGATTATAGTGCAGAATCTTGTTTATAGAAAGGTAAATAATTAGGTCCTGAATAAAAGATTGCCAAAGGCAAGATAAAAAGGCTAATGGCTTATTGTAGTTAAAGGAAAACTTATTTAGCAGCCAACCTTAATGTATTTTAGTACTTCTACTTCACAACAACCCCTTATTATTATTTTTTTTCTTTTAATAGGAGTTAAGCCATTTGAGTGCTTAACATGTGGAGTAGCTTGGGCTGATGCCCGATCTCTAAAACGCCATGTCAGAACACATACTGGTGAGCGGCCCTATGTCTGTCCTGTATGTAGTGAAGCCTATATCGATGCGCGAACACTCCGCAAACATATGACTAAATTCCACAGAGATTATGTGCCTTGCAAAATTATGTTGGAAAAAGACACACTTCAGTTTCATAACCAAGGAACTCAAGTAGAGCATGCTGTTAGCATCTTAACAGCAGACATGCAGGAACAAGAAAGCAGTGGTTCTCAAGAAATTGAGACTGTAGTAGTGACAGGAGAAACTATGGAGGCTCTGGAAGCTGTTGCAGCTACTGAGGAGTGCCCATCGGTATCTACACTTTCTGACCAAAGTATTATGCAAGTGGTTAATTATGTATTGGCACAGCAGCAAGGACAGAAGCTTTCTGAAGTTGCAGAAGCTATTCAGACTGTTGAAGTAGAAGTGGCACATATTGCAGAAGCAGAATAAATATAGTAATGGAGATCAAAAAGAAGTGACATCTCATGTACGCTGAACTCACAGAACATTTGTTTACAATATTATGTGACTATCCACTCAGAGTTGGTATGTCAAGGCTCTGGGTTGTTTGCTGATGTTGTGACATTTCTAAACGGTTGGTTTGGCCATTGGGTTCTGTAGAAAAGTCCATTTACTCTAAAGAAATTGAAAATGAATCTATTTCGTGGTTTATCATGGTATACTTTTTTTAGGAATTAATGTTTATAAAGGACGTACTAAATTAAAACTTGGTCAGTTTCATTTACATTTTGACACTATTGTATATTTTGAGTTTAAAAGGCTGCACCAGTGGACTGTTCTTTTTTTATCCTCAAACTAAAGAGGTACCGTTCTATGATTTCATGCCCCATTTATGAATTAAAAAGAAAATTCTAATATAAAGCATTTTAGTAGAATGTGTAGGTATATTACATTTTTGAAATGCTTCAAATCTGTCATTGTTGACTTACTATTTATTTTAACCCCTTCTAAGTCAGGAATCTTTATTCTGTTTAATGCACTTAGTAAGTTACAGGTTATAATCAAGTTTGCACAGCATACTTACCTATATGGGGAAACCATAAATTAATAGCTGACTTTTGAAATGCCTTTAAAATGCATGAAATGCCTATTAAAGTCTTAGTATACTATCTCTTCAAGGCAAATAAATTGGCCATGAGAAAAGAACTTTGTCATTAAATAGTGTTGATGGAAATTTCTCCTTGATAACAAAGGTCGATAAATGGAAAGGAAAAAGAAAAAAAATCTGGTTCTTTTGTTGAAGAATGAGCAAGTGAAAACTAGGTTTGGTATATTTTCAGCTGTTGTATCATGTTTAATTATTTAATTTTGTTGAAAAACTTACAGTTTGGAGTAGGACAGTAACATAAACATCTGCAGTAATCCCAGGATACCATATAATTGTCAAATAATTTGAGAAATGTTGAAAATTCATCAATGCAGCCCTCGTTATAATATGCTGCTTGAAGATATTAAATGATTATGGTCCACCGAATTATTAAAAGTAAGTTATTTTTAAAAAGTTATCTGAAAATTAAATTATATTAATTCATGTATTTGATTTTAAGTTCCCACATCTTGAAGCTATTTGATTTTCTGATTTTCAGCATAACCATAAGGAGATCCCACTTTTCTAAGAAATTTACCATTGTAGCTATAATTGTTAAAATTAAACTTTTAAGTATTAGAAGCTATTATAAGGTATAAAATTAAGAAATAAGCAAGTCATATGTAAATCATTCCTAAAGCACAAGGAAAGAATGTGCCTTGATGTACATATATTATTGAGATACTTGTTTACTTTTAAAATGGCTTTAAGGATGAAGAATAAATGTGATAGCCATGCATGCATTACACCTGCACATGTCATATTTGCATTTGCAAATTTTCCATTGTTTTAATAATTTTATGGCTGACTTTCAGTTTTAAGAATTGAATGGACATACAGCCCATTGTTATATGGCTGCTTGGTTATCGTATTTTCAGTTTCTGAAAATGTACTTCAACATGAGTAAGATTTGGAATTCTTTTATGTTCCATCTTCACCATTGTTACTAGATTTAGTTAATTGTATGAGACCATTAATGTATGTCATAAATATGTAAATAAAAGATACTGAATCTTGTTTAAAAGCCTAAGTTTAGAGTTTAACTTGTTGCTTTTTCAATTCATAAATCAATTGCTATTATTTGATTTTATTAAGTTAATCAGTTTTTAAACAGGAAGAAGTACTGAACACATTAAAAATAATCATTGGAATGTTGAATATTAAAATATATTGCTCAGTCTTATCACAGAATTAAATGATTACAAATGTCAAATTTGGATAATTTAAATTTTTAGAATTATGTCAATGCCATGTATAAACACGTTAAGAAAATTCTGAAGAGTTAGCACATTTTTAATGTTACAGTGGGAGGAAATTTCCCTAAAAAATTCTTAACAATGTATTTATAGAAATATGCAGTATTTTTATTGTTAGGTGACTTTCCCAAACTCTGTGGTTGTCTTCTGATCAAATCTAAGGATTTTAAGTACTTTTTTTTATTGTTATCTCTATTGCTACTAAGCAGTGTTATTGCTGTTAGTCATCAAAATGCATATATTATAGAAATGAATTAAGTACTCCTCTAACATTGAGTTTTAATCATTTTATTAAAAATCAGTGTCTGTGTGCAGAATTTTGCAGGATTACCTGTGCTGGACCTACAGCTAAATCCAAACCTTCAGGGGTTTTTTTTTTTTTTTTTTTAAGGAGACTTTAATGCATCACTTACTTTCTTTTTTTTTTTAATTTATTGTGATTTGGGTGAAAATTTACAGAGCAAATTCCCTTCCCATACAGCAGCTCACATATACTTTGTCTCATGACATTGACTGCGATTTCCCACAATTCAACACCCGCCCTCCCACTTCCTCCCCATCCCATAGTTACCTCTTCCCTGTTTCCTTCCCTCTGTGCACTCCTATCCCCTGAGCTGTCTCCCTGTGTATACGCAGCCCATCTGTTCTCCCATGACCTTCAGTTTTTTTTATACCATTGTCATAAATTATCATTGCATGATGCTTCTTACTCATGATTTATCCTTTCAAATCAGCAATCTTCATAAAATTTCCTAAGCAGGGGTTTCATAGATCCGTTTGGAGAGAACTGACATTTTTATAATTTTCAATCTTCATGAAACTATTTCTACACTTACATTCTCTTTCTCTTGGTAATATTTTCTATAGTGTGGGTGTGTTTGTGTGTGTGCATGTGTATAGAGATCTTGTAAGTATTCTGTTGTTCTTAGTAATTTTGTTTTTCTGCAATTGTAAATGGTATTGTTTTTTAAGTTTTGTTTTACAAAAGACTTCTGTATAGAAAGGGAATTTTCATCTGATAAAAAAATATAAAAACTCAAAGCAAAACATTCTAAATAGTGAAATGTTTAAATAATTCTGAGATTGAAAATAACTCTTTTTTGTCATGGTTTCTTACCAAACAAAAAAACAAAACCAAGCTCACTGCCATCAAGTCGATTTCAACTCATAGTGACCCCTCCTTGCGTTTCCAAGGCAGTATCTCTACGGAAGTAGATTGCCCAGTCTTCCTTCCAAGGAGTGGCTGGTGGGTTTAAACCACCAGCCTTCTGGTTAGCAGTCAAGTGCCTTAGGCACTGTACCACCAGGTTTCTTAGGACATCCCAATCACTTGGTCTAATAACATGTTTAGTGCTTCTGTTCTACCACCCAGTTCCATAGAGTGCTTGGGGTCTTAAAAGCTTTCAAGCAGTCATCCAAGGCAACAGCAAATAATCTCTATGGGCCTGGATTAAGAGAGGAAAAAAGAATAGGAATAGGAGGGGAAAATGGATTGTGTGGCTAATTACCTCCCTGAACAACTACCTCCTTTGCCATGGTACCAAAAGTGGATGGTGCCTGACATTACTGAACATTTTGATCAAAGATTTTATAGAAGAATCCTGACCAAAAGGAAGAAAATGCAGAACAGAATTTCAAATTCTCATGGAATCCAGACTTTCTAGAACCATGGAAGCTAAATATTCCCTGAAGTCTTAAAACTAAACAGTAGTTTAGCTTAATAAAGAATGTCTTCCTTGAGCACTGCTCTGAATATCGATCTATATGGATCAAATTGACAGCAGCAACTTGAATGGATAGGGAGCAGTGAGTTTATGTTAATGGAGGAGGAACATCTCAGAAAAGAGGCTGAGAATAGTTGTACAACTCAGAATATAATCAGTGTCACTGAATTGTATGTGTATAAACTTGAATTAGTTTGAATTTTTGCTGTGTATATTCTCAACAACAACAAAATATTATTTAAAAAAGAAAATAAGTCCTTTAATCTAGCAATTTGCTAAATTCCCTTAGTAAATAATTCAGATTTTCTTCTTACTCTATTATGTCATCTACAAGTAAATTTTACCCTTTTCCAATACTAGCTTGCCTTATTCTTCTGTCTAGGACTTCCAGTACAATGTTAAATAGATGTAGTGAAAGTTGGCATTTTTGTCTTATTAAGCATATTAAGAGGATTTATTTTTTTAATTATAAATGCATGCTGAATTTTATCATACACTTTTTTTTAATCTCATTCTATTAATGTGAATTTAATAGATACTTTGAATGTCAAATCAACTGTTCATTAGCCATCCATTCACATTCCACTTGGTATGTATCATTAGATTCAGATTGCTAATGTTTTTGTTTAGGGTTTTTGCATCTATGTTTGAGTGAGATTTACCTGTAATTTTCCTTATGTCTTTGTTGGTTTTGTTCTCAGGGCAGTGCTCTCTGTATAAAATGAGTAGCATAGTGCCTAAGGCACTTGACCGCTAACCAGAATGCTGGGAGTTCAAACCCACCAGCCACTCCTCGGAAGGAAGGTTGGGCAATCTACTTCCGTAGTGATACTGCCTCGGAAACCCAAGGAGGGGTCGCTATGAGTCCGGTCCGACTCGACGGCACATAACAACAACAACCCTTTCTGAAAAATCCTAACATATTTAAGTGGGGAACAGTGAAGTAGGCATACTGTAGATGACAGTGGGTTTGTTGAAGCCAGAGCAGGATGATGTCTGTGTAGATGTAGGAGGGCTGCACAGCATGCGGTATCAAGCCTGAGTAGATAGAGAAGGGCTTCCAAGAAGAGGGGTGGTCTGGATTAGGGTGCCAGAAATCAAGTGGGGTTAGGAGGGTGTCCATGTGGGCAATGAAAACAATAAAAGAGATTATTTCTATATAGATAAGATATGTAAACATATCAAGGATATTGGAAGCCAGCTTTCTCACTGTCAGAGAATGGAGTTAAAATAGAGAAAAGGAGATAGTGAAATGCAATTGGAGGTATCACTATAAACTAATACCTGACAACATAAGCATTTAGGATATATTATGTCAATGTGTGTAAACGTATGTGTGTTTATGTACAACCCAGACCTAGT